ATTCTGCTGCAGCTCGCTTTGGGTGGAGGCTGAGGGTTATCTCGGAACTTCACAAGCCTCGCTGTGCTCTGTGGGGAATTGCAGCTTGTGCTCACTGCAGACCCAGAGTAGGTGAGCCAGGAAAGCCTGGCTTGAGCAACCACTTCAGAGGGCAGGACAGGGAGGAAAAGCAAACACTGTAGAGAGGTGGCCTCCCTGGTAAGGCTAGAGCAGGACCGTCCTGCGGACTCTGAGGGAGGGTGAAGGTAAGTGGCTGCTTGGCAGAGGCTGTCTGCGGGAGCGGCATGTGCCGGGCAGGGTGCGCCCTGCCCGCAGTTCCTGCGGCTCAGCACCAGCCGCTCCGTGGGTTTGTACAACTTGTGCTGTGGTATGTGCCGAGGCTCAGGGCTGTTTCCCTGCGAGGGAGCAGGGTGCTGCCGCGAAGGAGGCACCGCAGCCCGCGCCTTTCGCAACAACTGCGCTCATCGCTCCATTCCTCGCTCCCCCCCTCGCTCCTCACCGGGTCAGGCTCTATGTCGAGAACAAGCGACAAACCGTCCGCACAAAACAGAACACGTTCCCGTGGAGGGGGAGAAAACCAAACAAACCAACAACAAAACCAAAGCGCTTCCGCAGTGCCAGGCTGGCGTTGTAGCGCTGCGAGCCCTGTCGGGGGCTGCGGCGCTCGGAGCCGGGGCCGCCCGAGCCGCCGCTCGGTCCCTGCCCGGCCGGGAGCGCCGGGCCCGCGCTGGAGCCAGCGCTGAGCACCGGGCCCGGCTCACGGCGGCTCCCAGGGACCGTCTGCTGGCAAAATCGGAAGGAACGGTGACGTTGTTCTTAGCTGAACACCATTAAAATGCTCCTCTGGTATCTCTCAATAGAGGTGAAAAGCATTTCAGCTTCCTGGAAATGGCCGAAAGAGGCGACGTGTAGATCAAAGTACGGCGCAGAGCTGGGCTCCTATTTGCAAGGGTTTTTGAACTGTAGTGAAAACGTTTCTGCAGCTTGCATCGTAATGAGTTAAGTCAGCACGTGAAGCGACTAAAAAAGGCATATTTAAACAGCATCGGGCTATTAACTTTCCTGGGATTTAAGATTTATGTTTAAATATATATTTGGCTATTAGCAATACCAGCATTTAAACCGTAACGTTGATCTGTTCAACCTTGAAGCAAACCAGCTCTGCCTAACGCAGCTTTGAAGCGACACAGCCAGACCATAATACTGTGGGAGCTTAGACAGCTTTGTCTGTACTTGCATCTCTCTGCATATTTTTCCAGGACTCTGATCTTTGTCTGCGATTAATCATTGTCCAGGACGGCTGTTCCCGGTGGTAGAATCCATGAAGTGCTCCAGCTGGGAGAGGTCCTAACGCGTGTGCCTGGCGCTGTGTACGTGCAAACCAGGGCCAGAAATTGCTGGGGCAGCAGGCGCTGGACAGCGAGCCTGCCGTGCCGCCCCAGTGAGTTGTGTGGGTCCTCAGCACTTCTGGAAGTTGTTTTTGTAAGTCTGAGCTGAAAATTTCTTTCCGTTTTTTAGAGTTTCTAAATGACTGTAATGTTCAGTGTAGTTTAAAAGTCGCCAAGGCAGTTGAGACCAGTTGTGCTCTCAGAGTGGGTGGTTTCATGGCTGAACCTTGTATCTGAAAAGCAAAATGTTCTGGTACAGTGTGTTTAAATCCCAGAAAGGTCAAACCAGACTTTCATACTTGAGTTAGATTGACCCTGGTTTGCTGTGTGAGACTCTTTAGATAAAGAGATCTTTCAGGGAAAAAGAGGGGGGGAAGATTTTTTTTCTCTGAACAGCTTGTGGTGACTCTGTGCACATTCTTGAAGCAAAGGAGCTTGTTCTTGCCCACAGCATCCCTGCCTGGCATTGTTGAGTGGAAAACTCTTATGCTAATTATATCACTGTCTGTTATCAATAAGAAGTGATTTAATTTCTTTGGCAAAGTGTTGCAACAAGAGCAAATTAGATTGAGAGGCAAAGTGAAATAAAAAATATGCAGCTGTTCTGCCAAACAATGATCCTGACTGTTTACAACATTTTGTTTTAGGCTGCCTTGTACACAGAATCCTTTATACTGAAGGTTTTCAAGTCACAATCCACTGCTTGTGCAAGGAAACTAGATTAATAGATTATAAAAGACAAAAGAGACCAAGGTTCATCTGGTTCAACTTCCTGCATTATGCAGGTCTCTGGATTTTTGTGATTTTTTTTGCTTTTTCTCATTTCAAAGAATTTAACTGCAGCATAGCTGCATCTTAGATAAAGATCAGATTTTCATTTTCAAATGGGATCTGAAAGGGAGTAAAATAAGGGTAAATTGTTTCCATCAAAAATCTACCTGACAGACTAGAAATCAAAGTACCTTTTCAAACTTGTCTAGTTTCTGCTTTCAGTTTCTGGATGTGTCTGTCCCTCAGTCTCCTTGGCAGAAGAATGCTCCATGACCAGATTTACATCCCCTCGTAGCTGTGTGCAAGCTGAGCATTTAAACACTCCATTGCAGGCTGCAGAGCTCCCCCTCGGGTCCATCTTTACTAATCCTGTAATTGTTCCTGCTCCAGTTTGTCACCATTTTGATCTGGGCAGAAGGGGACAGAGCCCTCGGCAGTGACCATGCCTGAGCCAACAGCCCTCCTGGCTCAGATGTGTCTGTCAGGCATCCAGGATTACTCCAGCCCATGTTCAGCTGGTTTCCCAGCAGGGCTGCTAAAATACTCTCGGATCTGATCCTTCTAAGAATGACCACCCTGCATTGTAGGATTGTGCTCTTTGTTCTGCATGTATGGCTTTACTCTGGTCATCTTGAGAACTCTTAGACAGCGTTGTTGCTTGCAATGGCCTTTTTAAATTATTATTTTTATTTGATACTCCCTCGTGATACTGCTTCGTGCCACCTACAAACTTGGTTATGATTTTAGTTTTCTTCCAGATAAACAACCTGTCAGCACTGTGTTTCCTGGTTCCGGGTGTGTGTACACACACCTCAGCAGTGTCAATATTGTGTCAGGAGGAGGTCTGGTTCCACACCATCCCTTGCCACACCCCAGTTGCATGGGAAGAAAGCCCGGTTTAGGAGCTGGAAGGGAGCCAGAGGCAGACTGCAACACTTGCCTGCCCTGGTGTCTATTATGTAGCCATTAAATAATGCAGAGCACAAAACAGGTGGTTGCAGGACCAATAAAAGAAAGATGAGTGTGTCTGGGGCAGGGTGGTTACAAAGTACATTTTGAGACCTTCCTGTTAGATGAGGTTTTTTTAGATGTGATGCCTCACCACATACTCTGTATCCAGCTGTTCATTCAAGACCTAAATACATTAGGGACTTCTTCCCCGCCGCCAAATTTGATTGACATTGGAGGAATGAGGGGGGAGATTACAGAGAAGAACACAGTCGCATTAGATGGTTTTATTTTTAGGAAACCAGGCTAAGAATATCAAAGGACTATTGAGTAGGAATATGGACAGGGTATTTGCCTGTTCATATTTTCTTGCCATGAAATTTTTTATTCCTTCCTAAGAACAGCAGATGATCTGTCTAGGGAATTGTCAGCCGAAATAAGCAACCTGCTGACAAGATTTCACCTGTGTCCCAGCATGCTCTGAGGATGCATGGGGATGTGAGCCTTGAACAATGACAGGGAATCACTAGGCTGTGTTGTTTGGCTGCCGGGGTGCAGAGATGCATGGTGACACCCAACAGTGGAACAAACATTTACTGTGTTTAAAATCCAGACAAATTTTGATGGATGTGTTGGCTATTTTCCAGACCTGGGGGTGGTTGTTACTTTTTAAACTGTATGTGATCATATTATTTCTGAAAGTATTATGACAAAGCCACCTCTGTAAGGTAGGGAGTGAGTGCTTTCAGAGATCTAATCTTTCTTGAGCTATAAAGGAATAAAGAAACTGTTTCAACACCTGACTTGCAGAATGTTTTGTGTTGCTTCTTGCCTATTGAAATGCAGCTGCCATTGAAATGCTGTGATCCTATCAGGATGTAGAAGTGGTTATTTTTTAGAATGCTTTCAAGCTTATAAAAATCACGAAATAAATCAAGACTGTTGGCAATTCTAATCAGCATTCTAAAGCCATCGAATTACAAAACAGTTCAGTGCTTCATGGCCCCTGAACAGTACAGTTTCACAAAAATAAAAGAGAAAGAATGAAAAGAATGTACCATTTAAAGGCCGGGCACTTACAAAGCTTGCATGAAAAGGAAATGAAGATCCAAATAATCTAAAAGAATATTTATGCATTAAATTACTTGTGTCTCTGGACACTTCATTAAACAGCCTAGATATGATAGTAGCCGGGGACCTGGGAGCCATTTTAACACATGTAGCAGATACAAGGAACATTCTGATTAAAAGTGATGGAGTATAAAATGTTGCAGCCAGAAACCGATGACAAAGATCAAATGAGTTCAGCTTACAAATCAGAGCAGTGTCTTCCCACTGGTGCGATGTGACACGAGACCAGGGCTTTGTTTTGCCCTTGACATTGCCACCACTTCTCTCAATCGTACAGTTAAGGATTTGCATCTTGATTTATTGTTTGACAGGACAGCGAGGAGTGCCCCAGCTGGTCCCTCGAGCCCTGGGTTGCAGCCGAGTGGGCCCGAAGGTGCCGGGTCGGTGAAGGCTGTGCTGCCCATGGCTCCCTGTGCTGCTGCACTCCAGCAGCTCCCAGTTGCTACACAGCTGCAGGGCTGTGTGTGCCTGTGCTGTACGAGGGGAGCAGCACAGCTTCCCCTTGGTCGCTGGAGAGGAGCATGGAAACAGGAGCAGTGGCCGTGGCAAAATCGTTCCATTCCTGGCTAGCTCACAGAGCCGCTGGCAAAAACGCTGGAGCGAGGAGAAGGGACACTTGGTGGAGCAGGGGGTGGCAGGAGGGGAGGGAAGAGCCAGCATATGTGCACAGCAGAGGTTACAAAGACAGCAGATCCTGGCAGAGCAGGGGGCACACACCGAGGAGAAAGGAATGGGAGAGAGGCCAAAGGCACAGTTCAGAATTAGAAAAAAAACTAAAAAACAGGAGGAGAGTGTGGCATATGGAGAGGGAAAGTAAAGCAGATCTTGCACAGCCTGCAAATAATTGAATAGAAAATACAGGAAGAGGGAAGGAGCTTGATTCATTACTGCCCTTCACCTTGTGGAGACAGCTACACCCAGGAAGAGGAGGTGTGGAATACAACAGCATCCTTCATGTTTCACGGTGAACTGTAGGTTTTACATTTCGACCCCTGCCATTTGTGGTTTTCTCCTTTCACAGCCCATGCCTTTTGTTCAGACTTGACTTCTGCAGGCTCTGTTCTTATCTTTGTCTACTTTCTGAGTTATTTTTGGACTTGCTTTAACTTTTATTTTTCTCTTTTTTAAGGTAAGTTTTAAATTAAAATACGTCTTCCAGATATTTTAGTTGTTTTAACCTTCAAGAGGGAAAGGCCACTGCTAGTTTCTAACTGAAGTTAGTTTCCATTAAACCCACATAGCCATTGCTGCATTTCTGCCTGCCTCTCTCCTGGGAGCTGCTGATGCAGGACAGGGTTCTCTTTGCTTCCTGACACCTTTCCCTGCACATTGTCTTCTCCTTTCCCTGGGCAGTGCCTGCCAGCAGTCCGGAAGGACTTGCAGTTAGCAGCGTGCAGGAAGTGGTTCCTGTGGCAGTAAATTATCACAAGCGCCTGACGTGTTGCATAAAGGGGAGTGAAAAAAGTGTCACGAACATCTGCAGGGCGTTCTGACCAGAAGGGATCCTTAGTTCCACCACCACTGCCCACATGAAAAAGCACTTCATGGTGTCGGCAACTAACGTGCAATTGCCTGTGGAATAGGAAATGCCAGTGGAGCTGGCAGGGAAGCAGGAAAGCTGGACATTCCTCCATGCACAGGACTGAGGAGCATGGCTTGTACAGCAGGGTGGGGAGAGGAATTTAAGCTCGTGCAGCTGTTGCTCCACTGTGACCAGCCCAGGCTTGCTTGGAGGCCTTTCGACTGAGAACACTTTTTCCCAGGTCCAAAACTGAGTCCTAAAAGGAGAATGGAGGTGCCCACTCAGAGTAGAAAATATTTGCTGTGGGTGCTGTGTGTGTAATTCAAGCCAATAAAGTACTTAAGAAATACACAGCCAGATGTGTTCTGTACTTAGAAAATTTTTGTCTAAGATGTCTGATTTCATGGGGAGGCTGTATTTGCTTCCTTCTTCCATTTGCCTGGAGCCCTTATCTTTGAACAGGCACTGTCTGTACTATTGTTAGACTCCCAAGACCATTAAAGGTCTTGAGGCACTGACATTTTGCAAGCAGATCCAGCTGCCATTCACACAGGGGCATTTTTAGCCTTATGAGAGATACAAGTTTAATTAGAACAGTTTTAACCAGGAAATCTCCCCACTTTAAGAACTCAGAGCTACTACATTAATCCCAGTAAGCAATGAGGAACTTGACAATGTGCCTGTTGTTATCAGGAAGGGTGAGATGTATGTAGGAAGGGTGAAACACAGGAAATGTGCCATCAAAGACAGAGGTGTGGAGCAGGGCAGGGCAGCGTGCCAGACCCAGCACTGTCAGCTTGCTGCTCTCTGTGCCTGCCCTCACTACACCCACACCACTGCTTGAACACCTTCCTGAGCCTCTCTGGTGACTCTCAGTAAGGACATCCAGCCAGGTCACTCTGCACTGTCAGCCCAACCAGCTCCCACAAACCAGGCACAGGCCAAGAATCACAGCTCTAAAGCAAATATCGCTCAATTACAACCTGGTTTTATTTCCAGTGCCTCAAGTTATTAATTAACCTGCTCTGAGCATCACTGTTCCTCTCAGAGTTTGCTCTGGCTGGGTTATGGCTGCTCTCAGGTCTGAGAAAATTTCAGTCTGGGCCTGTGCTTTGCCTGGCCATGCTCTGACAAGCCACAAGCTCCTCTGGCTCCTGCCAAACCTCCACCTCTATGAATGAGCATCTTGCCAGCCAGACTATGACAGAGCAAGTACTTCCCACTTAGCTCTACCCATACATCCAGCACTCCACAAAAAACAGACAGAAATTGTGGTGTCCCCCATATAAACAGGGCATTTTATCATCTCTTCAGTCTGCCATTGCTGCCTTCCTGTGGGAAGTTTGCACAGATACCAGAGGGGAGGATGCAAACTTCATGTTAACTGCCCTTTAATGTCAGTGCTATCCATTACTCAGCAAAAACATGGCACTATTTCATCCACAGTCCATTCTCATAGCCTACTTCACCAGCTTTTATTCTCCCCTATGAATATTCCCAGTTTCCCCACATGCTTGTCCATAAGGTTTGAGAGCTTCCTGCCTGGGCCAGATGCAAGAGTGAAGGAATGAGGTGTTGATCAAAGCCTGACTCATGACTCTGTAAAACACACACTGGTCAGGCTGCACTGTAGCTCACATAGTGAAAAGCATATTTAGGAAGCCTGGGTTCAATTAAACTTGATGTTCTCTACTTCACAAAATAAGTACAACTCCACATACTTCAGGTTTAGAGGAATCTTCCAACAGAATTTTGGGGAGTGTAACCCAGATTTGGCAATCCACAGTTGACTCACCCACTCCATGTTAATCCCTCCTGTGTAAACTAAAGCAGCTGAATGCAACTCCTGCCCTGGTGCTGTGGTCATCTTAATTAACACACACTCCTCTTGGATTCAGTCTTCCCTTGTATCTGAACCAGCAAGTACATTAAAAGAAAATATCCCTATCCACAAGGAATTACATAATTTGGGAACGAGAGAAGGGAAAAGTGATCTGAAGGAAGCAGATACTGCAGAGAGCGCTCCAATTTTGAAAAAAAAATAAATATCTGTGCTTGCTGGGTTAGGTGGAGTTTTGGGTAATGAAAACACAGGAAGGCCTAAGCCAGAGGGATTTTAGAAGTTATACTAAAGGGATTGGTTGGATACTGGCTAAGAACGGATCTTGTTGCAAGCAAAGCTATTTGTAGCCTTTTTCCCTAAATTTCCCCAAATTACTTCCTGATGAGATGTGTTCTCTGCTGCAGATCTGGATGCAGAAGAACATCTGATGGTGAGTAATTTCATGCAGATCTGTAGCAGAGCCCTGATCTCTGTCAGCCATGAGCAAGGCTGTGCCTCACTCCTGAACCCACTGCTTCTGCCTGTTCCCATGGCAAAACCAAGCCCAGCTCTCAAGGCAAACACAACTGCAGATCTCACCTGAAACGAGGCGTGCTGTGATAGCTCTGCCAGCCTGTGGTGACAAATTCCTGCCCATGGCTCAGGGAAGCCATGCCAGCACATCTGGGAGACACACATCCCAGGATCCACGGGGGCAGAGCTGTGGAGGTGTTGGCAGACACTTGCCTGTTCATTTCATACTTTTCAGAGATTACTCATTGTGTTTGATGTTCCAGAAAAGCATAGGATGATCCTAACCTTGTGTTACCCATATTCCACAACAGAATTTGGCTTGAGAGTTCATGCTTTAGTAAGCAACAGAAACTTGAAACTGCCTCTAAGCACCTACTCTATCAGGATGACATTTTACCATGTTGATTTACTTCAGATTTGTAAAATGGGGTGGTTTTCCCCCACAACTGCAAAGCCAAGAACTCAGTTTCTAATGAAAGGTGAAATTCAAAACACAACACGATGGCCATGCATTTATCAGGTAGGCCATATTGTGGCACCCCTGATTTAAGAGTACCAGAGAAAATAACCAAGAAACAGTTTGTGTTTCCTATAAATAGCTGCTCACCAGGTAGTCATGAGTGTGTGGTTTATGAATAAAGTTTGTCCAAACTACATCAGAGTACCTGAATATTCTCTGCCTGATTTTGCTGAGTTGTGTGTCTTAATTTGTCTCACACCTCCCCTTGCAGACCCTTGTCCTGTTTTCTTTCCTAACCCTCTGAACTCCCTGGTAGCATTTGGACAGATTTTACGTAGAGTTTATCCAAAGATTTCTGCACTGATTTAGTGCAGGCACTACTTGAGCCAAGTGAAACAGGAACTATTTCTAAGGCATGAAAAGGCAGAAAGGAAATTTTCTTATTGAAATATAATTTTTCCATATTACTTAATAGTCTAGAAAGTTAATGCCATTATGGCAGCACATCCCACTGGGAAAAAAATATGGTTTCTACTCAGCCAAACAACAATGTAATAATGTTTTAGGTTGGGTTAAATGTCTCAGAGACTGGCAGGTGTCACAGCCACCTTGCTTTCAGTGAAAAAGGCAATTGAGAGCCCTTATGGAACAAGGGATTTACATCAGTAGGAGCTACTACACAAAAAAAACAGGCACATGGCAAGGTTTGAATAGATGGTGAATCATGTAGCCCAAGGGATTTTTGGGGTGGGGGCATGTGTGTAAAATATCAGGCCATGAGGACCAGATGGTTGAGCTCTGCATGTGCGAGAGGAACAGCGAGAAACACTGCAGAAATGGAGACTGAGAAACAGCTGAAAGTCAAGGACATTGGGGAGCTTTGATTTTGGAAATTGTGTGGACGGTTTAGTGAGGGTCAGAGCAGTGTTGGTACTGTGAGCAAAAGCACAACTGAAAAACAATTTTCTTCATTTGTTCTGTAAGCAGGAGGAATCACTTGAGTAGCATACACCTGCTTTGTCATAGGCTTCTCCTCTCACAATGATTCTGTCACCAGAACTTTGTGTTGTGTGCAGGGACAGTTCAGCTCTCCCATATCATAATTCCCCCTTCCTTCTGTGCCCTATCCATACTAAATTCCATGGGGCAGAGACTCTCCCTCAGTAAGAGTCTGTGTGCACATGACAAGCAATTGTTGGCCTTGTGCAACATCTGAAATTTATCAGAGATTCACTTGACTTACTTGGTAAATTCCATTCCTTAGGCTTTGTCTTTCCTATTGTGATTTTTTTCAAGGCATTCCTCTTGCTCAGTACATGCTGTAGTTAGAATTAATAGTAGAAAACACAAAAAATTAATGTCACTGGTAATGTTAAAAATAAATATTTAAGGCTCTGTCTTCTTATGCACTTTGTTAACTAAGTTTATTAATATTTCCTTGGACATAAATGGGGTTAGTTATTGTTATGCTGAAGTCTTTGTAAACTGGGGTCTGTGTTATGAAGAAAACAATTAAGTGAATTTCAAAAACATAGTTCTGAAGACAATAAGGAAGAACAGGTCCCCATTCTTGTCCAGTTTGTGTTACCAAATAAACTAACAATATGGCTATGCAGCAGATGGTGTGTGCAAACAATATTGAACCTAATCTGTGAGTCTTTTTAGGGGTGTTTTTATAACTAACCTGAATTACCCATCAATACCATCCAGTATAAAAATCACAAACTCCCAGCAGATTTCCTAAGCAGCACAATAACCTTTCACTCCTTCCTAACTTTTTCATTGGTGATCATGAAGCAACAAATTGGCACTAAAGATTGGAGCACGGATATTTTCCATACCCCACTAATGCCCTGGTTTTGTTGTGCTCACTGGGACTCTCCACACACACATTGACCCCTGAGCTGCAGATGTGTAAGCTTTTGATGAAAGAACTTGTACCAAAATCAATATACAGGCCAAAACAGAACTAGAGAAGGACGCTTACAATTATTGTAATGATTAGATTTGAATTTCACTAATAGAAGGTTGAATCTTCTTCCATTTAAATCAGTGGCACCATTCCATTTCAGATTTTGCATTTTTTTTGAGTCAGCAAAATAGGCTCAGTTTTAGCTCAAACCCAAATGATATGCCTGAAGCACTGCATAGCTGTTAATTAAAATTAAGTACCTGAGACACTGAAATGTTGTACTTCATCCATACAAAGTAGACTCATTACAAGTAGAACATTAATTACTTAAAAACAGTCTTTGGAGTGTTTACAGTTGTATTTGTAATCTGCTCATTTTATGTTGTTTCATCCCAAATCTAAAGGTGTACAAATCTAAAAGTTTCCATAAGTATAAAATGTACAAGAGGACAAAGCTATGAGAAATGTAAAGATTGTTTGGCGAGACTTGGAAAAAGCCCAAAAACAAAAGGAAAAATCAACCCCTCACAAATTAATAATTAACCACATAATATTTTTATCCCCCCCAAAAATCCCCGTTGTGGCAGTAATTGACTTGCAAAAAAACCCCTGAATTCTTCAGTTACAGGAAGACTGCTAACTGTACCTGCTGATTGTATCATATATAGTGTGATACTGGGTTTGAGCCAGGTTCAAATAAATCATTTCAGGATGAAACAAATTCTTTCCTGGCCCATCCATTCCTGTGTCACTGAAATGCTCTCAGCCATTACAGTGGACAGGAGCTGATGGCTTTTCCTGTGTTCCAGATAAGATTTATAAGACTGTGGCTTGTGAAACACTTTTTGACAGTTTCTACATGCTTGCATCAACTTCTTCCTCAATAAAATGGTGAATTTGAAATAGGTGTGAGTTTGATCGCTTTTTTATTATTATAATTTGAGCTATATGACACTTTTTTGGGTATTACAGGTCCTTCTTCTGATCTTTTGCAGAAATATCCTTTTCTAGCGTTTTGTTTGCCCTGTGCACAAAGCAGGATCCTCCTTGCCCGAGTGCAGTTGTGTTTGTATTGGGTCTGGAAGGCCATCTAGTGACACAACCGAGCAGGGGAAAATGAAAAGCCCTACTCGAATTGTGGTTTTGGGTTTTTTTCTTAGTTGAATTAAACAGTTTTGTTACACCCGAACATATCCTTAGGATTTTGGGGCTATTCTCACAAGTGGTATTTAAAAAAAAAAAAAAAAGAAATTAGAGGAAAATTTTATTTCTTAAAAACAAACTTACTTAAGATAGAGCACACTGCTAATTTCTGCCAGAAAAGAAACGTGTTTTTTTAGTGTTGAATGGTGGTAGATTTGGACCTGAGTCCAAAATTCAGTGTCACTCCCCTGACTTGTGCATTGGGACCAAACATAATCCAGCAGTTGTGATTCCCTTCCAGAGCCAAACATACCCAGCTGTTGTGATGCTCTGCATTCCATGGTAGCAAAGAATGCCACGTGGAAGCCTGGGGCCACCACATCTCTGCGATTAAAATGAGAAATTCTAGTTATTCTCATTGCAGCTCACCTTGGGTGGGTGAGCAGATGATGAGCAGAGCTGTCGGTTCTTAGCCAAGCAATAAATCAGCGGAGAACAGGCAGTGAGTCACTGCCAGTGCCAGCACCCAGGTGCCTTTCCTGGGGTGCCTCGGGGGTCTCTGCCTGCCCTCACCGTGCCTGGCACCGCTCGGCCCTCAGGGCTGGACACACATCGGCGTTGAACTGGAGCGGTCCCTCAGTGCTGGCCGCTTGGAGGGACCCAGCTCGGCACTGGAGGGGCTCCCTGTGGGAATAAACGAACGGGAATAAATAAATAAATGAGAATGGGGTGTGTGGGTGGAAGGGCAAAGGGACGCGGCCCGATGTTACCAGGGCATGGAGCCTCGAGGGATTCCCGGCGGGACGGGCGGGCGGAGCAGCCCCGGTGGGTCTGAGGGGACGCGGCCCTGAGGGGCCTTCCCGCCACGACCCCGAGCAGCCGCAGCCCGCCATGAGGTTCGGCCTCCAGGAAAGGCTCCCCCAGTGTCCCGGGGGGCCCGGGCGGGGCCCTGAGGCACCTGAGGCGGTGGCGGCCGCGGCGCGGCCAATCC